GATTTCTTCAACTTACACACAAGGTGTTGCTTGCCTTCTTCAACAAATCCTTGAGGTTAATCCATGTAGATGTCTTCCTCCAATTTTCTATTCAAGAAAGCCGTCTTCACATCCATTTGGTGCATCTCTAAGTCCATTGCTGCCCCAATTGCTACAATATTTTTAATGGTGGTGAATTTGGCCACGAGAGCAAATGTCTCATTGAAATCAACACCAACAACTTGTGAATAACTTTTGGCTACTAATCTTACTTTATACCTCACAATATTGCCCATTGTATCCTTCTTTGTTCTAAACATCCACTTACAACCAATTGAAGCTCGATTTGATGGAAGTTGAATCAATTTCCATGTTCTATTATCCATGAATGATTTTTACTCTTCTTCCATGGCATTCTCCCACTTCATAGCATCCGTGGACTTCATTGCATCATATAAATTCAATAGATCAGCAAGAAGTACAATATTGGCATGTTCTTCACTTACTTGATAAAAAATGTGGTCCTTCCACCATTCACCATGTTGTTTTCTATCTCTCAAAGGATATCTCCTTTCATTTGAAGAAGACTCAACTTGTTGCACTCTATAATCACCTCCAACCTTCTTTTATTTTGAAGATAGTCTTTTCTCACTCAAAGATTTATAATCCTCATCACCATCATCATCAACATCTTCATGCTCTTCATTGCTGGTCTTAGCAATTGTAGAGGCCTTCTTGTCCACCTTCTTTGCCTCTTCATCTTCATTTCTACCTTTACAACCATCATTGTCTTTGTCTTCTTCCTTCTTTGCTGAATTTGAAGATAAGTCCATAAACACACTATTACTTCCACTTGGACACATCTCCAAGTGCTCACAAGCACTCTTGTGCTCCAAAAACTCAATATCACGACTTTTGATGATCTTTTTAGTCTCCAAACACATGATTCTATAAGCCTTTGTACCTTTACAATATCCAACAAATATACATTTTGTACCTTTTGCATCAAATTTTGATCTCATACAATTTGATATCTTTGCATATGCTATGCATCCAAAGGTCCTCATGTAAGAAACATAAGGTTTTCTCCTATTCCAAGCTTCTTCCGATGTCATTGATGTAAGTGCACTTGTAGGACACCTATTTCTTGTGTACACTACATTCACCAGTGCTTCTACCCAAAACTCATGTCCAAGGTGTTGTGCATGAAACATACTCCTTGTCATCTCCACAATGGTCCGATTTGCTCTTTCAGCAATTCTATTTTTTTGTGGAGTGTAAGGAGTAGAGGTTTGTCTTGCAATACCATGCATCTTCAAGAAATCATTGAATTGCTTTGTCATATACTCACCTCTATTGTCCGTACGCAATACCTTGATTTTGCATTCACATTGCTTCTCAACAAGTGCCTTAAACTTCTTAAACCTTCTGAAACACTCACTCTTTGCTTTGAGGATGAAAATCCACACCTTCCTTAAAAAATCATTAATGAATGTAATAAAATACCTTGTACCTCCTATTGATGGCATCTTCATAGGTCTACAAACATCAAAATGGACAATCTCCAATAACTTGTTTGTATGTGTTGCAACTCCACTTGGAAATGAGGCTCTTTGTTGTTTATCTTGAATACAACCTTTACAAGTAAGTGTCATAGCATTGTGGCTTATATAACCAAGATCTAAGCGACTTACCATGAATTGGAGCTCTTTCATTCTCTTGGCATTCAAATAACCAAGATGTTGATGCCAAATGCCAAACTTATCTTAATCTTCAGAAAATTCAACAAATGCTGCCACTTCAACTCCATTCACCTTCTTACACTTGATGAAGTAGAGGTTGCCATTTCTAAAGCCTTTTGCAATATGATCTCCTTCCAATGTCTTCACAAAACATCCATTCTTATCAAATTATACTTAATAACTATATGAAACAAGTTTACTCACTGAAAGGAGGTTTTTCTTCATCTTTGGTACATGTAAGACTTCCTTCAATCTGATCCTCTTGGTTTGGCCTTTCACAACAATCTCTATAACAATGGAGCCCATTCCAATAGCTTGTACTATGCCATTATCTTCCATGAAGATATTTTTTTTTGAAATCTCTTCATAAATGTCAAATAAATACTTGTATGGAGTCATGTGCTTGATGGCACCAGAATCAATGATCCACTTGGACATGGCAGCCATGGAAGTGCCTTCACTTGCCATGAATGCATAATCATCACCTCTATATTCATCACAAACATTATTTTTACTTTCTCTATCTCCTTTCTTAGTCTTGTAGCAATTTCGAGCAAAGTGACCTAGTTTTCCACAAATGAAGCAAACTCTCACATTCCCACGTTGGTTAGAATGACTCTCCTTGCCTTATCTTGAAAAGAGAGCCAAATCCTCACTTAGGGGTTTTTTTTTTCTTTCATCTTGATTACTTCATGGGCAAGTCTTGCCATTATATAATCTATTATGAGTTCTTTTAGCTTGATGGACTCCAATGCCACAATGAGGTAGTTGTAGGACTCAAAAAGGCTCATAAGTAAGTTCATGACAATATCACTCTCTTCTAAAGGCTTGTCAATAATTGCAAGTTGATTAGCAAGGGCCTTTATGTTATTGATATGAGCCATGAGGTCTTCACATTCTTCCATCTTGCAAGTGAAGAATTTCCTCCTTGTGAAGATGATATTGGACAAGTTCTTACTGTCATATATATTGCAAAGAGTCTTCCATGCTTCTGCTGGTCCTTTGCAAGAGATGATGTGAGAAAAGTTGGCTTCATCCAAATTGATGGCAATCATGCCAAAAGCCTTCTTTTCACATCTTTTGAAGTCCTTCCTCTCTTTAGCATGAGCATGCATACTTGGAAGCTCTTCACTTTCATCTACAATATCCCAAAGGTCCAAAGACGCCAACAAAAGCTCCATTTTGACCTTCCAATGGTATAAATTGTCACTTCTAAACTTCTCAATTACTCTCAAACCTTCACCCTCACTCGAAGCCATGTCTTAAAAGATGTCTATTAAAAATATCAAGAAAAGGAGTCTCTATGTACTTAAAATCACCAAAATAATTTTGCACTAGCAAAATCTCAAAATGCCCTCTTGTGAACAAATAAATTTTTCTTCACTCTAAACACTCCCAAATCAACTTTTGAAGCTTCTAACAAGTATGTGAACTCTAATCAACCTCACCATCAAGTTCTTCCACTCATAAAACTCACTTTCTCACCACAACACCAAAGACACTATCAAGGTCTTTGTATAAGGTCTTAATCATTCAATCCTAGGAGTTAAGAACCTCAAACTGATGTTAGAGATCTATAAGGCCCAAATCAGAACCTCTACAAGTCAAAATACAAGATTAGATCATACAATCTCTAACATCAGTAAACACCATAAGATATATTTCACACAAGAACAACAACCAACAAATGACTTCAACTTACTTGAATAACACAACAAAGTGTATGTGGGCCCATAACCTATTGAAGAAAGACAATAAGCAAGACATAAGTAAGTAGAAAACAGCAAGGTTAGACACAAGAAAAGTGTGGAATGAGATGCCTCTCACTTCCAACACCATTTACTTATAAGTAGAGTTTACATCCATTTTAGCTAACGTTCATCTTACTTTCATCCAAGTAAATCCTAGATTCTTCTTAACCTAGTCGCCACTTTAAATCCTAGCAGTCACCTTGGTAACTTTCCTTCATCCTTTTGCTGCCTTTTGACCATTAGAAACTTATCTAAGATAATATCTTTTACCTTCTAACTTATCCTCCATTTACTTTAGCATTTTTTACTAAACAAGTCATATTTTATGAAGTCTTTTATCTAAGTAATAAGAGAAGATGACACAAGTGTCAAATTTTATCAATCTTAGTATTTTATAATCATATTGTTCGAACTTTCTTGCAACTAAATTAATGAAATAATTGAAAGGTTATAAAGAACCATGAAAATATGAGAAAGAAGCTAAGGCTAAGGAAATAAAATAAGAGAATAAAATCTAAAATTGGTTAGAAATGGCTAAAAATATTAAACCTTATGATGTTTATAATTCCAATTTGGACTTATCTTTAGCTTTATATGATTTTTTTAAACTATATATGCTTTTTTATTGAAAGTCCATGCAAACTTATAAAAAAATTATAGGACTTATTTATATCTTTTCTTTTTCTTTTTTCCCTTGTTTTGATTAAAATTTTGTTTACAATTTGTCTTATAACATACTTACATGTTCAAATATATAAAATATTCTTTAGAAGTTTAAACTAAAAATTTAAAAAAAATAATGAAAAGCAACAAATTTAATTCTTTTGTCAAACATTCTAAAATAAATCATAAAATTTAGATGATTTCTATATGAATGAACATGCCACACATGTACTAATTGAGTTTGATAAAATCATGAAAACGTGGTTATATACAAAGTTTTATATATATATATATATATATATATATATATATGTTGTAAAATATGGGATTGCCATAAAATCAAGATGAAACATACATCATAAAAAAAATGTTACTTCAACTAAAATTTCATTAAATTTAATACTTAATTAGATAAGAACCTTGATTTGAAAACTTATTTTTTTTGTAAAAAGAAATAAGCTGTGGTTTGAAAGAACTTCACGCTACAATTTAGGGTTATCAATTCAAATCTCAACCATCAAATACCCCACAAAAATTCATCACCACTAGTTCAAAACAAAGATCAACAAACAAAACAAACACATCCACATCTACCAAAGGATTTTTCCTAATTCATGCATAGTGCAAATCCCAAAACCCTAATTCGTTCCAAAATCTACCCCCAAAATCAGCGAAAAGTCTAGATGATGCAGATGGCCTCGGAGAGAGGGTTGTGTCCAGGTGCATGCACCTGCGAGATGTATAAAGTAAAAGTAAAAAACAACAAAAAGCAAAGCTCAGAAAAGTAAACGAGGGCGAGGAAAGTAACGCGAGGTGGGCTTCTGGGACTCGGTGTGTTAGCCACCGTTGGAAGAGCGGCGTCCTCTGCTTTGCCAATTTGCTTTTTGCTACAGAGCGTCACGGTGGGATTCTCACCAATCGACCTCTCAGACCTCAACCCCACAATTTTGCATTTGGAGATACATCACTTTTTGACTCCCGTACTTTGCATTAAAATCGTGAGCCTCGTTCTCGCGAGAGCACTGTTGAAATCCAGCTCGTGTAGTTGTTGTTGGAGTTGGGAGGAGATTGAACCTCAAGACCCAAGCTGTGTGCAAATCGTCGGGATTTTGGCAAGCTCAAGTTGTGTATAGCTGGGCTGCAGTTGGATTTTGTGCCTTTGAGAGGGTTGCGTGAAGGGACGCGGAGGGCGACATGGGTATTGAGGTCTGTTTTCTGCGCTAGAACTGTTGGTTTTATTTTATTTTACTTTGTTTTTTATTTTTTTACGTAGTGTGAGGATGATTGTGGATGCGGTGTTACGATGGGTTTATTATTTTGATTTTGATTTTGATTTTATTTTTTGCGTATGAGATGGTTTGTGCTGAAATTGTCCGCGCTAACTTCCTAGATTTTGAAGCACTGCAAACATTGTTAACCCTAAGTCTTTTTGTCCGGAGAGTCAGTATAAATTCTTGAAATTTAGAGGTTGTAGAGAGTTTTCAATCTAGAGTTCCGAACAACCCCTGCTCATAGAATTGATAACCTCCGATGGCTTATTTGGAAAGCCCTCTTTATAGTACTTGTGAGATAATGCTGTGGTATATCATGTTTTTTTATCAGTCTTGAATTTGTCGAAATTGTTTCATTTTGGCACCAGCAGAAAGCAGTTCCCGTTTTTAGCAAGTACGAGTCCAGGAGTCCTTCGTCAAAGAGTTACTACTGTCTACTTAGGTGTGATCTAGGGTTTTTCATTAGCAATCAGGACTTGTTATTGATGCTCTCAATATACTAACTATAAATTCATGGTTTCCTGAAGCTGTAAAATGATTTAAGTTGCTCATAATGATGAAATTAATTTTTGTAGGTGCATAGACCACCCATGGAAGCGTGGTACATGGACGATTCAGCGGATGATCAGCGAAAGCCTCATCATCGCAGCCCACCTGAATATGTTTCTCTGGAAAAGCTTGCAGGTATCTTAATGACAAAAGCTTAGCTCATGAAATTACGTGCAAGTTCGTACTGGTCTGAATTTTATAGCGACGACGTGTTTCAAAAATAGTTGAAAGACTGGTAGTAAATGTATGTATCTATCTATAAATTCAACTAATTAGCAGCGGATTTCAGATCTTGAAATTTTTCCTGTCATCTTTCCAAGTTTGTTCTCCCCTGGTATTTGGCGTCGGTTTTTAGAATATCTTAAGCTCTTGAAATAAAAAATTTAATGGGCATCTTGGAATGTACAGTTCTGAACTTCTCTATAACTAGACTGATTTGTTGTGCTTTGCTTTTGCAGAGCTGGGTGTTTTGCATTGGGTGCTTGATGCCGATAGTTTCGAAACCGATCCTGAACTGCAACGGATTCGAAAAGAGAGAGGGTATAACTATGAGGATTTCATAGAAGTGTCTCCTGAAAGATTAGCCAATTATGAGACGAAAATCAAAAACTTTTATGAAGAGCACATGCATACGGACGAAGAGATTCGTTACTGTCTGGATGGAAGTGGTAAGCATCTTAAATCAACGTCTTTGCTACTTTATTTGCACAACATGCCTTATGCGACTCTGATGGGCTAGGATCGATTCTTCCTACATAAACACACACTTGCATTGCAGTTGTTGATGCAGTTGTTTTACAGGTTACTTTGATATTCGCGACCCAGAAGACCGTTGGATTCGAATATGGGTGAAGAAGGGAGACATGATTGTGTTGCCTGCAGGGAGTTACCACCGCTTTACTCTTGATGAAAACAATTATCTCAAGGTACACATAGCTACCTATCAGTAGCCCCATTCTAAAAAACAGTGACTGCAGATATGAATAAGATAGCTTATTCAGTGTTTAAAATTGTCCAATCCAATAGAACTCTGAAACCCTGTATTATTATATTCGTGGCAGGCAATGAGGCTGTTTGTAGGTGAACCTGTCTGGACCCCATATAACCGACCCCAAGATGAACACCCTGTGAGGTGAGTTTCTCAATCTAAGTTGATATCTCACTTATTTGTTGAATTCTCAATTACTCAACTGCGTGTTGACCCACTGTATCTAACTGTATTTGAAACATTCCTTTGACAGCTTCTTGTGATTGTTGCTCCGCTCTTCTTCCGCCGTAATGCGTTCTCAGTTTTTCTGATAGATTTCATTGTGTGTCTACTTCAGGAAGGATTATATCAACAACTTTTTGAAGACCCATTTAGACAAGATAGACGTGTCATTGTCGACCCAACATGCAGCGACTGCGTAACTTTAGACTATTTAAGTGTTCTTTTAGCAGAGTATTGGCGCTTGCATTTTTTTGTGGACTTCTAGCTTGGTGTTGGCATTTTACAGAGGCGTTTCTCAACGTGCATGCTATGATGAGCTTTCATGTCCTTGTTCTTGCTACTCTTACGGTACCCAACACATTCAAATTTGGATGCATACATGTACCAGTCTTTGAACTTATACAATGAAGCTTAGTAGGAAGAGCGGTAACATGTCCACCTCCTGTGGCATGTAGCACAGACCTTTTGACTTCAGAATGGTCAAGGGTGGCTTGCTACTGCAGCATTGCTTAGTTGGAGTTTATGAACTTTTCAGTGATGATTTGGAGCTTACTTTTTTAGGACTACACTCGTGAATTCTGAAGATTATTATCAAGCTAGTTTTTAAAAATCCCAGTTGCTATGGTTTTCCTTCCCTCGAGGATTATGTCTCTTTGTTAGTAAGAAGCGTAGTATTATACAAAACTTAGCTTTTGTATGTTGAACCAGTCATTCTCTTTTAAGTCTTTGCCTAACGCACCTGTCATTCGTTCATTGTTTAAATTCATTTGATCCCTCGTCTTTCAAACTTCATGGCGTTTTGAAATTCGCGCAAAGCATCGACACATTATCTCAGGTTATAAACTACGTCACCCGCCTGCAATGGTAGGAAATACATATAGCATTCGGTAATAAGGTACAACGAATAATTATTTGAATTGTCTTCCTGCCGAATCAATTTCTACAAGTCAAAACATCCTGCGTCGAAAGAAGTTATATTCATAACATTTATATTGTGCCATTCAAGCTTCTGAATGTAAGGTGGAATTTATGTCAAGTGAAAACCTTAGCTTTGCCAGGTGGAATTTGAGAGGAACGTTCTTAACATCCTTAATTTGAAACGACAACGAAAAGGAGGTAACCAGTAACGACAAACGAACAAACGAGAACGTTTAAAGACGAGTATGTGGTGATTTGTGACTACTTTTAATTGTCTGGAAACATCTAAGAATCTTTTTTCAGAAACAAGGTTAGGATCTACACTTCCAGTCACCAGTGGCTTGTTATTAGAACGTGTACCTAAAACCAACACTTATATGATGTCACATCCTCTAGAAGACCCAATGCCAGAACTGATAATGAAATACATCAGTGTGATATCCCCTTCTACTGTTCCTCACTCCGTCGGTTAATTCTACAATTCCCTTCTCAGGCTGAAGTGATTAGCGGCATGAAGGCAATTTCACATAACGAACGCTCTCTTAAGAGTACGAATTAAATTCTCATGCACGGGCGTCGCTTGGAAGCAAGTACTCTATCAAGCCATGGAAATTTCACACATTCAAAATCAAGCATACAACTATCCAACATCAAAAATAAGCGAAGGATTCACAACTGTAAAAATAAATTAAGACAACCACTGCGTGACTTAACGCACAAAGAGAAAGCCACCAGGGGTATCAAACTTTCTATAAAAATAAAATTGGATTTCTATGAAGCAAGAAAAATAATCGTGTAACGTAGATGCTCCATGAGGCCTCCAGGCGCATTCAGAATAGCATAAAGCTCCACGCTACAAACTAACGTTCTCCGTGCAGAAGAACAACCAGGTCTCCTCATATCAAAAGTTACCAGCACAGGTCAATCGCCGTCAAGTAGTTATCTTCATCATCCGCTACAAGCACTTAGCCGCTGCCGCCGGAGTAAGCCTTGCCCAAAAGTAATATCTGCAACTGATCGTATCCGGATAACACTCCAGCTCCTGCCACCGCACGCAAGATATTAGCACCAGCGCCCTTGAACAATGACTTCGCTCCTTCCTTCGCCAAAATCTGCCTAAACGCATCCATGGACCCGTTGTACTTCACTGCCTCTCCGGAGGTCATCATCATCCTACGCCGAACCGTGTCGATGGGGTATGAAGCCAGACCCGCACCGATCGTGATACCCCATCCCAACAAGAAACTGGCCAAGAAGTTGCCCTGCAAATCCAATAAAACCAGTCACACCCATAGCTTCAGACGCATTCCCAATCTCGCTACATCCATAAAGCTCTATTTCGTTTCGCCACACCGAGCAAATCTATCAATTAGCAGCAATTCAGCTTACACGCTCTAGCGGCACAACATCCCTTCCCTCATTCATACACACAGCATCACCCCATGCCATCCCATGCAATCGTAAAACAGTTGAACAGATCCCAAAAATGACTTTATGACTCGGACATGTGCAAAACCCCACCTCCAAGTTGCCCACCAACACCACTGGCTTCAACGAGTCGTAAATTCCGAAGTACAGGCCCCTGTACACGATGATACCCGCGCAAGAGATCGCGAACCCTCTGTACAGTCCCGCAATACCGTCTGTCGCCAAAGTCTTCTTGTACACGTCCACCAGTCCATTAAACTGCCGCTCGCCTCCTCCTTTCTTCGAAGACTTCGCATCGTTCGCCAAACGAGTACGTGCGTAGTCTAGAGAGTACACAAACAATAGAGATGACGCTCCCGCGGCACCTCCAGATGCCAAGTTGCCGGCGAACCATTTCCAGTATCCGTCCTTGTCCTTCTTGTACCCGAACAGAGCCTTGAAGTAATCTTTGAATGCAAAGTTCAAAGCCTGCGTCGGGAAGTATCTGATCACATTCGCAGTGTTCCCACGCCACAGCGACATCATTCCCTCGTCCTTAATGGTTCGGCTGAAGCACTCGCCAATGCCCTTGTAAGGGTGAGACAGACGCCCGGACTTCAGCATTTCGTCCTGGTTCTGGATCAACAGCTTCACACGCTCGATGGGCGCAGCTGCTGTCTTAGATACCGCGGCCGACACACCCCCCATCAGAAAGTCGGTCATGAACGAAGCGAATGTCTTTTCATTCGCAGCCGGAACGAACACCTGGCTCGACATGTTCCTCCCGCCGGTCACGTCGATGGGGCACGGGGAGTTGAATCCCGTCTGCCTGGGCAGAGCACCGAGCTTGGCAGCGGCCGCGAAAGGAGTGCTGAAATCGTAGGCGGGGTACATGGCACGACTAGGTGTAAATCTGGAACCCAGGTATGATGTTCCACCCATCTTGCTCACCACGCTGGGGCAACGCTGGTCAGCCATTGTCAGAGATGCTCAATTCCTGCACGAACGGAAACTACATGTTGTCAATAATGCATTTTTTTTTAAATACCATAATGTTTCTCACTGAAGTACGAACAAGACACATCTGATTACAACATTTGGCACAAAGAATCAAAAGACATGATTAATTGCATGACATCCACGCGGCTGCGGATCTGAGCTACCAAGCGCGGATGTAAAGAGCTCGATGTTTGTCTATTACATGTTGAGAAACACGTCTGATGAAATTTAGCATAATTTTTGATGAAGTCCATGGCTAACAGAGTCAGGCACCGGTATTGCACATCAAGAGGCAGATAGATCTGAAGTTCTACCCTACTACCCGAACACGAATTTGACATCGGTATGAGAGAAGCGACCAGGACAGGTAACCGACAAGTCTCTCCAGACCAGAGAAATCGACACACCAATCCAATTCCTGCGAAAAGACGAAAGACATTCGCATCGTAACACTATGAAGTCACACAATCCTCGAAGAAGGTATTCCTAGATGTACCGAAACAATTATTCTTATTTCGAAGCCATAAACATCGCTGTTCGTCTGAACAGGAGACAATGAGCTTGCATATTCCAAATCTAGTCCAGAATCACAGCATCTCGACGATGCAATGACTGAGAACAATGACCGCGCGTCCAATCAGTCACAATCCACGTCAAAATCATCTTCACTAAGCGAAAAACGACTCCATTCACAAATTAAAAAAACCTAAACACTCGACTGAAGAACATCAACCCCCAACAACCCAACAACGTCTAACCAGCAGGACCCTCCTACACCACCCCAAAACAACCACGCGCTACAAGACAGCATTCTAGACAACCCCGAAGCACAGAAACACGCCACACCAGAAACCATCTTCACATTCCATGCCGCGATTACAGGCACCTCCTAGAACGGATCTAGATCACCCCATGCAAAAAAAAATTAAATTAAACTAAATCAAATCAAATCAAAAGTATCACAAACCAAATCGACGCCTAACTACACAGATTCTCTTGCCCTCGACAACCTGGCTGAGCGATGAAACCCCAGCATCGACCCGATCGAAGCAATCGAAACGAAGCACAAATAAGTCTAGATACTAAGAACCCAAAAAAATCGCAGAAGAAAGAAAGGGGAGAGTACCAACACGCCCTGCGAAGAAGGGCAAATGGGTCAGCTGCGGCGATGGAGCGCAAGCAGGGAGAGCAACACAAGTAGCAGAGAGAGCTTCGGCGCGTGCAGAGCTCGGCGTCAAATTGCTTCTCTCGTCTTCGCTACGCAGCTCCGTCCTGCTCGCTACTGGTCGGATCCGAGTCTGGCGCCGGTATCCGGTTCCATGGTGCGTTCGGGGCAATGCTGTCCACCTGCGGGGACCGGTCGTTATCGCTCCGATTGCCGGTGGTGGTGATTTCTTAAGGATTTCGAGCTGCACAACGACTGCGGATACGGTGACTGCCAGGGTCTGTTGAGCGTCTCCAGCGGTCCCCTGCACCGGTATAATACTGAACACCCGGCTACGTCTGTGTGTGTACGCGTGGTGGCATCGTAGAATTGAGTGTTTCTTTTCGCGTAGCGCTGGCCTGCATCGATGAGTTCCACAAAGTGCTTTTAGAAGTATTTTTCGAATATTAAAAAATAAAACCCTTTGCGCACCGTTTTCATACCGTGTGGAACAGTACATTGCGTGATTGAATCATATTGATGAATGAATGTACATTCGTTCCTCATCCAGAATGTCTGAAACCCATGGCCAAGTGTACATTTGTCCTAGACGGGAAATTAATAACGTGCTCATTTTTTTTTATATTATGTCAAGAAAAAAAACAACAATAATAATAAAAATAATAAAAATAATAATAATAATAATAATAAGAAACCAAGCTCACGAATTCTCAGTGTTTTGTAAGAAGATCTAGTTACATAATTGAGAGAAGAAGAAAAAAAAAAAAAACATTCAAAAAACAAAACAAAACAAAGAATTGTAGCATGGCTTCATAATTGAGATTGTCGTTACAATAATAAATTCTACCATTTGTCACTGGAATTCGTTGATTGGATTCTTATTATTCCTTCGACAAAAAAACATATATTTATTAAATAAAAATCTAAATGTTGAAAAAAATTACCATTCAATTTGGACACATGTTTCACTTACACTAGAGTTTTAAATAATTAATACCTGATACAGAAGTAGATTTAATGTGGCTAGCAACAAAATTGGGTGAAATGATTTATAAGATATGCAAAATCTGCTCACATGAACACAACCACAAACATTGTGTTTAAAATGTAGTTTATTATCATCCTTTTTTATTTCACTCTTTCTTGATTTGCACTGAATTACATGCTCTTCTAATATCTAACTTGGAACAGGTTTCAACTTTGTCAAATCATTAGCAAAAAGTTATATAATAGAAATACAAGAATAATATTGGTGATGAATGTTATGTTGAAACCAAACAAATCAATGCAAGTATATAGAAAATTTCATTGAATTTAGTAATATATATATATATATATATATATAGTAAGGAAAATGACAATATTTGATGTCATTTGAAGAATATTCTAAATTTCATGTGCAAAGATATTGATATGTTACAAGTTAAACTCTACACTAAACTATTAAAATAAAAGGTTGTGCACCTTCTCAAAGATAAATTGCAATACAAATTTGTAAATGTTACATCCCCAATTGATATTGCTACACTCTATGTGACCTCCACACAACTTAAATTAACTAAAAAGTGCACTTCTATGCTGAGTGGGGTTTGGCAACCTAATATTTAACACCAACATTGATCCAAAAATAGAATGATATAAAATAATAATAATAATAATAATAAAATCATTGAAATGAACAAAAATGAAAGCAAAAAAGAGAAAAGAAGCTTGCAACATATTTTTTCACAAAATATTAACTATCTCTCTCTTCATTGCCACCCTTTCTTAAAGGAAAGAAGAGAAAAAATGTGCAAAATAAAGAGGCATATTATTAGCTAGTTGTCTATAAGGACACATGGGGTGAAGAGATATCAATCAAGGAAGCATTAACTATTCTCTTACAATATTGTAAAGATGACATTTTAGCATAATATTTGTATTCTTTCTCTGTATATAAAAAGTATGCCTAGGAAGTTGTTGTGTAGCGCTTGTACATGTCCGTACAGTCTTCAAAACATATTTGAAATGAATTTGAAGTCGTTAAAGTATTAAGATATATTTGTATACTTTTCCAAGTAAAAATATAAAAAAAGAAAAAACATGACAATTACATCTAAAAGAATGACCCCCAACTTAACCCAATATTGGACAACAAAACAGATCCAACATCATATTCTTGACTATACATTCTTATTTACCTCATGTGTGTGATTAGACAAAAACCCAAAACATGATATCCACAAACAACTACAAATTGCACATGCATTTTACATCTTAATGTTGACATATGAAAATACAAAATATGGCATACACATACAATAGATTTAAAAAAAAAAATAAATCATGCACCACCAAAGAAAATCTTCATATTCTCATGCAATGAACTTCACAAGCATTATTAGCTGGAATGGAATCAGTGAGAATATAAATTAACAAAAAAAAAATTAAAAAAAAGTAGATGTCGTCACCAAAGTCCAAGAGCGCGTGAAATCGCCGACCGATGCAAGCGATCGGGGCCTATCCGACGTGGCAGCGTGCACCGGGCGGCTTGAGGGGAACGGTGAGGGGCACGAATCCCGGGGCGGACCGGATGAGAACCCACCCGCGCAGCCTCTTCATCGTCCCTTTTTGCCCTGCCCTGCCCTGCCTTGGCTGGGAGACTGCTGACTCTCGCTTCGCTGCATTTCTACGCCATCATCTCTGCCTCGCTCTCTCGCTCTCATTCGCTCGCTCGCACTCTCGTCTCCTTGCCTGCGCCCCTGCTCTTCCTGCCGCTGCTCCCCTCCCCCTCGGCCTCTGTTTCTCTTGCGCTGGACTGCACTTGCGCTGGACTGCACTTGCGCTGGACTGCACTTGCGCTGGACTGCACTTGCGCTGCTGCATCACGCGGCCCTTGCCTTATCCTTTGCTCTGGCCTCCGACGCTGTGGTGACGGAGAATTGCTGGTGTTTTGCGTCCCCTGACGTTAGGGTTCTGCGCTCTGGGAGATTTGTATCGTCCGCAGATCGGGGGCTGGGGGACTAGTTTGCTGCTGTGAGCAGTGGGTGGTGGTCGACAGTGCGGTAGGGTTTGTAGTGGTGTGCCGGTGAGTGGCTGCGCCTGATGGCCTCCAAGCGTATTCTGAAGGAGTTGAAAGATTTGCAGAAGGACCCCCCGACATCATGCAGCGCTGGTGAGACTGCCGACGTTGTTTTTTTGTTTTTGTTGAATGCTTGTTTCTTGGAGTTCTCCTGTGTTTGTTCGGTTCCGTGTGAGTGCTTGGAATCTGGACTGGAGTTGGCGTTGTGGTGGTGGTGGCGGTTTCTCTTGATCAGTGCTGGTGTCGTCGTTGGGCTGTCCGAAGGATGTCGACAGCTGCGTCTCCTCGGTTTTTAGTTGCCCAATTGTAGAGGGTAGAGGCCGAGAATTCGAGGTGCTACGAGTCATCGCTCGTGATGTACGGACTTTGATCCATAGGTCCTTTGAGTGCGGGCACGGGTCTACTTCGTCTTGGGGTTCTTGATGTTGGATGTTGCGGGTGTGGCCTACTGTGTAGGCGGGGTACGATCTTCTGTGAGATTTGGCAAGTCTGATTATGTTCGTGAGTGTCCCAGGTACGTTTGTGGGAACGGACAAGCTTGGTGGATCTTCTGGCTGCTACAGTTGATGTGGTCATGGTTTTTTGAAGTGTGTCGGGTCCACCTGTGAAGGTGTGGTTCCTGCTGTGTAGTAGTCGGGGGAATTCGTGGGGTCGGGAGTCTTTTTGGAGTGCGTAGAAACGGCGTGTACTGCCTGAAGGTGGGAAGGTTGGGCGTTTGTTTAGTCAGCTGACGTTGCATTTGTAGTGGTGAGCAGCGCGGTACTTTTCTGCCAAGGCTGGTTGCTTGGTTATGTTCATCCACGTTGATAGTTCAAGATTTCCGCATGGTTGTAAGGTACTGGTGGGTGTGGCTTGAACCGCGTAGCTGTTTTGGAATGACTTGGAGTCGTGGTGGTCTCCAGATACAGTGCTGATGAGATGCGTGAATGTGATTGTCAGCTCACTTGAGCGCAGGGTGGTAGAAGGAAATGTGTGGAATATGGGCTTGGCAAGTTTAAACATGGACGATAGTTTTGTTTTGGGGTGAGATGTAGTGGAAGATGTCATGGGTGTCGTCTCACTGGGTGGTTGCGGTTGATGTACGACAGGGCCTGTGGCCGAAGATATGTTCCATTGGCAGGCTACGATAATGGGACCTCCAGATAGTCCGTATGCGGGAGGCGTGTTTCTGGTCACTATTCACTTCCCCCCCGATTATCCATTCAAGCCCCCCAAGGTAGGTCTGCTGGGTCATGATTGGGGTTTGGTGGGATAGAAGCGTCCTCCGCCGCGCAACTATGGGCGCGTGGCAGGATTGCAACCGATGGGTGGTGTTGCGGGTGCACGAATTTGTCATGACAGTTGTTGAATACAGTTCCAGTACGGGCATGAGTGCGTCGAGAGGTGTGGCTTGAGTCGATCATGGTGGCGAAGGTCTTGTGTGGGTGGACGTGAAGGTGGGGGTTGGCGCGCAGGCTGGTAGTGTTGGAGTTTCGAGAGACGACGGTTAAGTTACGTTGGTTAATCTGTTCGTGGCAATTGCGGCTGCAGGTTGCGTTCAGGACCAAGGTTTTCCACCCCAACATCAATAGTAATGGGAGCATCTGCCTGGATATTCTGAAGGAGCAGTGGAGCCCTGCTCTAACCATATCTAAGGTGCGTTGGTTGTACACGTCGTTGGAGCTGTTGTTCCGTGAATGTTGGTCTTTGTGTAAGCGAGGATGTGAGGTTGAAATGGTAGGATGGTGGGAGGGGGGTGGGCACATGCAGCCGTGGTTGACGTGAATGTGCAGCGAAGGCGTGTGCCAGTAACCACCACGTGGTCGTTGAATTGATAGTTGTGGTGGTGATTGTGGGTGTGGTTGGATTTGTTGGGAGTGGGTCGGGATAAATTTGGTCGGTTTCTGCATGGAGTGGGTCCGGATTCTATGGCTGCATCTTCTTTACATAAGCACCGTGATGGGGTTGAGGTTGGCGTAGAGGAACACGGGATTGGGTTACGAGAAGCTGGGATGGCACGTGACGGGATGGTGACGTGGGTGTGTGAGTGGGTTGGTGCAGGTGCTGTTGTCAATCTGCTCATTGCTGACAGACCCAAATCCGGATGATCCCCTTGTACCGGAAATCGCTCACATGTACAAGACAGACAGGCATAAGTACGAGAGTACTGCGAGAAGTTGGACTCAGAAGTACGCAATGGGTTGAGAGCGGGAAGCTGCGGCTCTAAGGCTGCGAGCACGGGTGGGTTTGGCAGGACGTGAATGCGAGTATGACGTCTTTAGCATTTATGCGAAGCTGAGTGGGAGGTAAAGATGACGGTTACCAGATGGCCCCGAGGGTCCTGATGATGGGACTTGGAGATATTTGCGTTGTGGAGCCATTGTGTATGTTGCAACAACATATTGATAGGGTAGTGAATGTGTGCTGAGGGGTTAAGTAGTGAGATAAGTTAAAAACTGTTTGGTGCACGTGTGTGGCATCTTGTGGTCGAGGTCGTAAGGATCATAGGTGCACCACTGCCTTGCTGTTGCAGCGTTCATACGTTTGCCAGGTTTCATATATTTATGAGAGGAGATGGCATATCCTGTGTGTTGGTGCGCATCTTGTGCTGTTTTGGGTGGAATCAGGACCGCATAGTTGAGTGTTGAGAGAACAGAGGTTGGCTGGTCATGTGATGGGGTCTTTGGATGTCTGTCGCAAGTGTATACGTGAGGCAGGTTCCAATTGCTAATCTCAACTCCAGTGTGGACGAGGGAGGAAAGGAATTCTTCTGTTGAGGGCATTCGGGGTAGAGAATGGCGTCTTTATCCGTAGACATGGATGACTAAATAGGGAGCAGGCTGGAGGCGTGTAGGTAAGGCTATGTGTACAAGAGCTCCTGTAGTTCTTGTGCTTTTGCTGAAGTAAATAAATGCGTTGAACGTGCACTTTGTGTTGTGCTGTGGCAATGTGGCATGTAATTCGGATACATATCTTGTTTCTGAAATATGTGTGTGTTAATTCTAATTTAATTTACTACATTTATTTTTGTGTGTTTTTTTAAAATATTTGTGCCTGTATACATGCATGTATTCATGTGTATGTGAACGTTTCCCACATAAATTGCAGGCTGAGTGTTCTAAATTTAAATAATTGTTCATTGTGTGCGTTATTTACTGCAACGATTATTCATTGTGCATTTAATGTCTGATGATATCTTCTAGATTATAATTGCATTGCTTTTTTTTGGTTAAGTCAGTCTGATATTTATCTACATCGTCTGTGTAAATTTTCAATTCGAGTTGGATGTAATCCTTTTCAAGCTTTTAATTACTTTTATTAAATACACAAATATACATGTAAATCTTTCAATCTGAACATAAAGTGACAGTAGTGTGGACAAGGTGGAGCCATCAATGTCATATCTCTATTTTGTCTGTATGATCTTGCAGTTTCAAACAAGCAAATCAAGTGATTCCGTTTTTAAAATACACCATCGTCGATTGAAGTATACCCAAATTTTGTACCATTTTAGCAGTTATACTGTGATATCGGTGAAGCCTGCCATTATTATTCTGCTGCGGACGACATCGATTCCCGATTATTTATATGTACGACAAATTGAAGTGTATTGGCCCCGTTTGCGATAGGTATCTCAAAAATCAAATATACATGTGAACATAGATACATTTATTTTTATTTTTATCTGCTTTTGTTTCTGTAAACAGTGTGATAACCACAGTTTCTATCATCCAGCACAGTGTAGGTTTTAAGTTAGGATTTGTATCAAATGTTAGTGTTTAGTAACAGATACAATCATTTGTAACAAAATACTTTAGAGCTGTGTTATATTAATCCAGAAATAAATAAATAAATAAATTTCAAATATATGATGTTTATACTATTTTTGTATTGAAATAATTTTCTCTATGATCTTATTTACATTAGTTAAAATTTCAAGTTAAAAAACAATAAATGATTTTAACTTCAATACAAGTAGTAGAATCACTATCAATGAAATCTTTGACAATGGTTATGTAGGAATATAATAGTAAATAGAAATGAAATGAGCATTGGAAATTATAAGATGCTCAATATGACTTATGCCTTAATTCACTAAGTATACTCCTAAGTGACTCATTTACAAGCTATCCTATGGTTCAAACCTTCATGGTCCATGGCATTGTAGACTTGGTCATTTGAACTATTAGTTGACTTATCATATGACTACAAGACAATTTGTAACATGTGCTTCTTTTCAACAACGTTTAGAAAATATGTCTTTCTTGTATCCTTGGCAAGAATTATAGAAAAAGAGTTCCTAAACGTTCACGAACATAGATGACACACATTCTTGAGCTTAGTCACAATTACTTGTGTAGACCTCTTCTATCAATAACAAAGGATAAATACATTCTCACATTTATTGATGAGTTGTAACAATTTATGTAAAGCTAAAAGTAAAATATTCTATTAATATTAAAATATTTAAAATTTATTGTTGCAAAAGAGTTGACTTCCACTTTTGCTTGCCTACAAATAGATTAGAAAGAAGAATAATGTCTAACAAATCTTGAGAAATAATCAATTCAAACAACAAATGAGATTCTTGGTACCATTTCTAGTATGGTTGTAATATACAAGCTTCAAGTGAAATAATTTTCTAAGAATATAAATAAGTGTTGGATTAATAGTCTCAAGCATTCATTATCTTGCTTATGTTAACAAGTCCAACTTAGCCTAGAATCATTGAATAAGTTTATCAAATCTTATCATTGCTATTAATATTGCTAGTAAATAGGAAAAAGTGTTGGTAGCAAATACTTATAGATATATCATGCTCATATTGATAAGATCACACAAAAACATATATAATATTTTCTTATTTTTCAATAAAATCATCTGTTTGATCCATATTGGTTTTTCCAATAATAAGAAGAGCTAATGGATCTTTTTTAGAAGAACAATTTCCTCAAATATTTTTTGTGTACAAAATAGTATTGTATTTAATCTATTATTGCTTAAGTATAATTTTTTTTTAAAGGAATATTGAATGATATTGTGTTTCTTCAAACAAAAAATAAGAGATATAATTGGTGAATGTGAAAAATGTTCATTATTATTATTATTATTATTATTTAATATTTCATATGAATCAAGTTGTTCACAGAGCAATAATATGCATAAATTTGGAGTACATGGTTTGAAAATCACTAAATTAGAACAAGTTTGGAAGTAAACTTATCAATTGTTATCACATATGTAAAACAAGGGTCACAAAGTATATATCTTCAAATACTCTAAAAAAAATTTAATCTGTAAAAACATAAGGTAAATTATAGCATACCATAAAACTATATTTAACCTAAATTCAACCTGGATCTAGAGATGAATATTTTACTATAAGAAGAAATTATTTGTTTTATTTATAGAAGATATTGATTTGGAGACTAATACATAATATAATTAATTGTATACTTTTTAAAAATTGGACAATGTTTCAAAATCACTTCTGGATTCTTATTGGTTATATTATATGATTAATATTGTAAACTCAACTCCCTGTTTCTTATGTTTTGATTTTCTTGTATTAATCCTAATTCTAATCTCTTTATTAAGTTTGTATAATTTTAAACTTATATATATATATATATATATATACTTATGCAAATTAATTGTTCATTTTTTCTCTTAATATCTAAATCTCAGAACCAATTTATTCTATTATGCATACAATGTATGTTTAAATTAAAAGCTCCTAAATCATCAAAGAAATTTGTCAATAAAGGTTTAGTCCATTCAATGGATATTGAACCACAAATGATCACAAGAATGTTTAATCTATTTATTCTAATCTTTTTACATCCAATAATGAAAACAATACATATTTCAAACAAAATCTACCAAAGAAGATGTTTAAATCACCAAATTTATATACAACTTATGAACAATTTATAAACAAAGTAATATGTTATTAACTAAAACAAAGATTACTTTAATGACCATCTAATCAATAATTTATTTGTATTATTTAATGAATATATTATGTATATTAATCCTATCTAACAAATAAATATCATCTTCCACATTATCTTAAACGTCAATCTTGTTTTATTATCACTTTCTTTATTAGAAATCGCTTCCTCTATTTTTAGAGAGATGGAAGCATTATGAGTTCCTCCCATTAGAAGGAATTTAAAGTTAAGAAAGCAAGGCTACTTGGCAATTGGGAGAGTGATTTACAACCCCATACAGTCAATTCTACATGATTATGAAAGCTCTCTCAGTCTCTCAGTTTAGATGCTCATGTTCTAAATTCTTGAGGTTGGTGCAATAACTTAGATTTAAGGTTTGTATATTCTTCAATTTTACAAGTGACAATAAAAGAGCATCAAGATTCTTCAATAGTCATAAACAAAGGTATTTAAGACATATTATTGCACCATCTTCCAACTTTGGCAAAGATGCAAGTTTATCACATACTTGTAAATCAAATCTTACAAGAGCTAGAAAGCCATCTTTTCTACCAAAAGAAGTTGGTAAAGCCTCCAAAACATCACAATCAAAGATATTCAATCTCACCAAATTTGGAAGATGATCTAGAGTTGGAAGTGAGACCAACATTGAGCATTGTATAAAGAAAGCAGAAGAGGGAGGGAACACAAGCGGTTTGGAAGAGAAACCAACCCCCACATGAAAGCTCAAGGTATTTCGAATGCTGCTGGTCATCACTCAACTCTGGAAACTCTGGAAGTTGCCAACCATTTCCAATGAACTTCAACTTCTGGAGCCTCTTTGATGCCGTCAGCTGGGAACAACATTGTTTCCAAGGAATTACCATTCTAGACACTCGAATGTTCCAAGCCAACCAAGTTGACGAGGTCCCACACCACTAATTTCCTTCTGAACATTTTGGAAAGTCCCTCCCAAAGACTCGTTCTGAACAAATGCTTACTTCCATCAATATACAGGATTTACAACCTGGTGAGGTGAATTAAATTGGAAGGTAAGTAAGTGAGACGATCACAGCATTCAAGATACAGCTCCTCCATGCCGACCAACTTCCCGATTGATTGTGAGAGCGTCTCTATATTCGTCCAAGTCAAACTGACAGAGATTTTATGTCTCTAACATTCTTCAGTAGCGAATTGATCTCAGTCCTTAGATCCAAAACGCGGATGCTGTGAAGATTGTTGAAGAGTTTCTTGGAAATTGACCTCAAAAGATTGTCTCGTAATAGAACTTGGAGCTCTGGGGCATCCAGTTTGGCAGGTTGCTCCTTCAGCTTTGTCAACATGAGAGACAACCTGCAAACTAAAAGACTTGTCCTCCTGCCTCTGCCTAGATCCTTGATGAGCGGGAGACCAACACGCCCACCAGCCTACACGCTTCTAGGTTCGGATCATACTCAGACTTCTCTCCCACAATTCCTTTCCCTCTCTACAACGGCAACAAATCTTCGTATATCCCAACTTGGCAATCCTTTAGTCTTTGATCGATACTTCCAAGCTCATCAAAACTGAGTTTGAGTCAACTGTGCAGCCGCATTTTGTGATCCTTGTCTAAAATATCCGCATATTTTGCTTCTACAAAGACAACTCCTAAAAGCCTCGATTAGCTTCCCTGCAAACACACTGCCAATCACTTTGAGCGCCAGCAAAAGTCCACCACATTTGCCCATCACGTCCTCAGCTAGCTTTTTTAGCTCCAGAAACACACGATTGGTCCCTCAAAGTGCTTGCCATCAGAACAACTTCCAAGTGTTCTCTTCATCTAGCAACACAAATTTAAGCTTTGTCACATGGTTTTTGTCCAACACCTACTCTATGCAAGTGGTGACGAGGATTTTGCACCCCGCTCTTGAGAGGACCACAGATGCCACCGAGCGTAGCACATTTTCTTCCCAAACATCGTCCAGGACAACAAGCATGTTCTTCTTATCCTTAAGATCCTCACTTAGCTCTGTTTTCATATCATCCATGGGAATGTTTTGGCGGGCATCTGAGCAATCAGTGATCTTCAATGAGGTTGTGGAAGAGACTCCCCACCGACAAGTCTCTATTGATAGTGAACCAGAAGCAACCCCGTGTGAAGTGCACTCGTTTGGCATTGTCATAGAAGACTTGCTGAGCGGCAAGCATCTTCTCTGCCCCACCTATTGCCAAGAACCCTATCATGAGTGTGTTCTGGTCCAGTAACAACTTCTTTGCTTCTTCCACATTCCCATCTCTTCCGAACACCTTCTCCATATCCACGCCGCACGGCATGTTAGTGGAGGTGGAGACTTTTGGCAAAGCACTAGTATGTGTGGAAGTCAAGCGGATGGTATCCACTTCACTTGTGATAGATGATATCGCAGCCATTACATCCTCTGACTTTCTTTACCCGTATTGAGACTTGTCAAGTGCTAATTTGGTAGCACAGGCCAACTTCAACCTCTCTAAATGAAGATAAATCTCATTTGACTTTGTTTTTGTTCATCGAGCAGCTTCATCATATTTGCAGAAGTCTCCGAGAATACTGCAAAACCCACAATTGAAGCTTGTGACAGAATGTTGCTTAGCAGCTCCTTCTCCTTCACCAGCTATCTGGAATTAAGAAATTCAGGAATAGTGAAACAATTCCTTTTCAGGGCTTGCAACATGTGCTTCAAGCAATCTAACCTCATGCGCAAACCCTTCAACCAATTTCCCACCGCAAAGTTAGCGGTAGATGGATTAATGCTATCTACAATCGGCTTTAGCTCTATCAGCATCGTCTCCAGCTCCGCTGTGTGCTTGTTACATTTCTATTCCAAAAGCGCCACCTCCTTTACCATGTTACTCATGAGCAAACTACACAACATGGTGATGAAAGGAGGAGACATCAATACTTATCTATCTGAAGCAATGGACATCAGGAACCAACTGAAGGCGTTCAGGGAGGTAGTTGAGGACAAGACATTGAACAATATTGTTCTCAATGGACTACCAAGGAGTTACGAGATGGTAATCCAAAGGATCACGTACATGACAAGCCCATCCTTTGAAGAAGTTATGAAAAAAATCCTCACATAGACACACCAAGTGGTAGTGCGAGAGTAGAAGCTCGAACAAGACAAGGCACTATTAGTACACTTCTAGCGACCGTTCTTTCCAAGATGAAGAGGTTACTTCTAAGAAGAAGGTCGAAGAGGACGCAGCTATGGTCGAGGATCTGTACCATTCCACAACAACAACCATTATCACAATACAACTGTAATTCTCAGCTGAGAGGAAATGCGTCTGGACACCATTAGGGTAACCTTCCAACTGCTTATCCTAATAAATCTGGACAGTTTAGAAGTCCCAGAATTGTAGTATGCTATACATGTGGAAACCTAGGCCACATTGCGAAAAATTGTTCTCACATGAAGTACTATCCTAGTTCAAACTACAATAAAGGAAACTATGCAGGAGTGATAGAGTGGTCTTCACATGCAAATTTGACCAAATACCAAAATCAGCATTGGTACATGGATTCTAGAGCTAGTAATCATGTCACAAGAGTGAGAGCAAAACTACAATGGATAGAAGGGAACTCATCTGGTCACACTGTAAAAATAGCCGACAATGGTGTTCACCAAGTTGGAGCCGCCGGCTCATCTATTGTGAAAATAGTCTCAAGTAAAATAAAGTTGGGAAATATTCTATATGTGCGGACTTTGACACATAGTCTCTTATTAGTAGGATCATTGATTGATCAAGGTCATATCATAGTGTTTACCAATTTGCAATGCATTATTCTGAACAACCACAAGAAACAGATAATATTAGCCTTAGGAAGACGAGATCCATCAAATGACCTCTGTAGATTTACAAACAAATCATTGGAAGCTAAAGTAAACTCAATATTATTAAAATGAGATATACGACTCTGGCACCAAAGATATGGACATCTTCATTACGTAGGTCTTCAGCACCTTTCAAGAGCAGTAAGGGTCATTGGACTATCCATGCTTGGATACACGAAGGAAATCTGTGGAGATTGACTTGTTGGACGCCAACACACAGAGCGCTTCTCAAAGACAACATCACATAGGAGCACATAAGTATTGCAACTAATTCACTCTGACCTTGTTGGACCTGTTCAAACTCCGTCATTAGTTGGATCAAGATACTTTGTTGTCTTTATAGACAAATTCTCCAGGAAAAGTTGCGTTTACTTTATAAAGAATAAAAGCGAGACATTTGGAAAGTTTAGAGAGTTTAAATCAAGAATAGGATCCAAAACATGCAAGAAAATACTGATGCTACAAACAGACATGGGAGGGAAATACCTATTACACGAAGTTAACAACTTCCTAACAAACCATGGCATAGTAAGGCAGCTAACTATGGCAAGGACACCTCAAAAAAATGGAGTGAGTGAAAGATGGAACAAAACCTTGGTTGAAAGAGCTAGATCAATGTTGGCTGTCTACCAATTGCTCGGATTTCTGTGGACAAAAGTCATCAATATAGCCAACTACCTTGTAAATATAAGTCCCACAAGAGCTTACCATGGTACTACACCCAAACAAAGATTCTTGAAAACAAAACCTAGAGTGGACGCCCTAGCATACCTACACATACCAAAGGAGAGTAGATCTAAATTGGACAACAAAACACTACGTTGTATCTTCGTAGGCTATGATGAACACTCAAAAGCGTACAGAGTCTTTGATCCTGTAAAACGCAAACTCTATATTAGTTGTGATGTAGTTATAGATAAGAGCCAAGTAGGCTATGACAAAATAAGCCCTCAAGACTTTAAAATGGAAAAACTCGCCTCATTCCCAGATTAGGAATCTAGAAAAATTGAAGCCGCCAAACAAGTAGAATTCCCCGTCGCTCAAGACTTATCCGACAACGCACCTCCAACTTCTAGTTCCACTAATCAATTTTCAAGTGATAGCAATGATGACAGCATTGGACACCACAACCACGCGCAAAGTTCACTTGCGCAGTTTCCAGAACACAAACTGACTTAATTGAGAGAAAGATAATACCAAATACAAGAACAGAGACCAAGGAGCAGATTCATTGACAACTATTTACTGACGACAGAAAGAATAGAATTTGAACCTGAAATCTTTGAACAAGCGATTCAACACAAAGGATGGAAAACCACGATAGATCAAGAGGTAGATTCCATAACACAAAATCAGACTTGGCATCTGGTTGATCTACCTGCGAGAAAGTCACCCATATCTACAAACTAGATTTTCAAATTGAAAATTGCATCAAGAAAACAGGCAAAAAAATTGAAGGCGAGGCTCGTAGCCCGGGGATTTGAATAAGAAGAAGAGATTGACTTTGGTGAAACGTTCGCACCTGTAGTTAGATAGTCCACCATTTGGAGCATAATTGCATTAACTCCAAAGAAACAGTGGAAACTGCAGCACTTAGACGTCAAAAGCGCTTTCCTCAACGGGAAAATTGATGAAGAAGTCTACATGACAGTACCTCCAAGGTTCCAGAACGAAATGAGACGAGGCAAAGTCTATAAATTAGAAAAGGTATTATATGGGCTATGTCAAGCCCCAGAGCCTAGTACAGCAGGATTGATGGAACCTTCAAACACAAGTACTGACCAAGAGCAAAGAAGACCCAAACCTATACTTTTCTATTAGCAATGACAAGCATACTGTGGTAATATTCTATGTAGATGACATCATCATAACAACCAAAAACGACATAATGCAAACATTTGAAATAACCAACTTGGGTGATGCAAAGATTTACCTTGGAGTAGAGCTAATATACGACAATTGTGCCATTTATTTCCACCAACGAAGGTACATCCAAAAATTGCTGGATAAATTTGGGATGACCTCTTGCAACTCCTTACTAGTATCAATGAACCCGAAATGAAAACTTCAAAAGGAGACTAGAACTCCTGCAATTGACCCACACATGTACAAAAGTTTAGTTGGGGGGCTGCTCTATGCCACCATGAATCGCTGGGATATCCAATACGCAATTGGCTGTGTCTCAAGATTCATGAGCAATCCACAACATGATCATCTAATCGCAGCCAAAAACGTATTGAGATACCTCAAAGGCACGATGAATTACAAAATACTTTACCCAACAACAAATGATAACAGACTTCTGGTTTTTACACATGCGGACTGGGCGGGGGAGATAGATACAAGGAAGTCAATGTCTAGAATTCTGAATAAATTAGAATCAGCACCTATAGCCTGGACAAGTAAATTGCAACCCACGTTATTGTCTTCCAACGAAGCAGAATATCGAGTTTTGTCGGAAGCAGCAAGAAACATAACCTACTTTCAACGACTATTACAAGAACTCCAGGTGAAAATACCAGGACCAACCCCCCCCCCCCTACTCTGTGATAATTTCAGTACTATCATGCTTGTTAAGAACCCAATCATGCATCAAAGAACAAAGCACATAGAACTAGAACATCACTATATCTGAGAGAAATTTGAAGAAAGAAGTGTAGAGGTCAGCTACATCTCTTTCAGCAAGCAAATCAGTTTACCAAACCCCTCGCACAACATCAATTTATTAGAAATAAAGAACAAGAAGGTCTTGCAAAACTGCCTATAGAAAACTAAGAATCTACAATAGAACCCAACATCACCTATCTGAGTTTTAGAGAGGGATTTAACTCAGAAGGTACAAAAACCTAAACTAAAAGACCTACAAAAACCTCAGCATCCTCCAGAGTCCAAAAATTCTTATGAAATGCCTCACATTAATCCAAAATCTATTCGGCACACTCGCACTAAGATAAATAAACCCGAGGGCAAACACCTCTATTGACTACATAAAATCTCCTAGCATTTATAGTAGAACCAAAACTACATTTTTTCTTCAACACCACCGCTTCGCCTTGAAACTTTATGGAGGGCTATCCTCCAATGACGAAGTCTTCGCCACCACCAAGAAATCAACCTCAACGATTGCATCAACGAATTCATCACCACACTCAGACTCTAACTCGCATTGTGCATGTGACTCTATCAACCGTCTGAAGAAATGGAGTGACAATAAGTCACACAGTCGTTGGAGCACTTCAACGAGTATCCACTATGCAAGGAGAAGAACCTCGACCTGCGATCAATTTTTTCAACTTAGAACACAATTCTTAAGAGCTCTAAAGCATAGATTAAAAAAAAAAAACAAAAAAAACAAAAAACAAACAAATGTAAAATAAGTCGAGCTTTGCTCCTAACAGGTTTATGTTCATAAGCTTGTTTGTAACAGTTGTGCCTCAACATGCTACTTTAGCCATGGCGGGGCCTTGCAAACAGTGCTTTTGAATCATTCCTTCACTTCTAATTGAGGTATCGCAGCAGATATCGTCCTTACAACACCGACTTCACATCCTCCACCGTGCAGATGCGAGCTGTGCAATTTGAAGTAATATGTTTTTGCTACGTGTCAAGTGACTACAAAATCTCATGGGTACTGGTGGTTTTGAGTAGTGAGCTGGCGTTGTAGATTTCCTCGCATCACCGCTTCGACGGCGTTTGTGCCTGCGGTTATCGTCACAGCCTCCGCCAGTTTTGTAGATCAGAAGGCCATTGAAATTAGATCATTTTCTAATTCAACATTGAACCTTGAGTACATATGACAATCAAAGCAAGGTTTAAGCAAAGGTGACTACTAAAGCCATTAGCAGTTCTGTAACAAGTTCAGTGAATGAGAAGAGAGGATACAAGTGAATATAATTTCATCAAATATATATACATATACTGATATTGTTTATTTGTAGCATTCAAATCTGAAACGCTTTACAAGGCTAAGAATTGATTTAAATGAAAAATAGACACACACTTGTTCATTTATTTTAGTATATTTTATTCAAAATAAAAACAGATAAAGTTCATGAACGTACCAATAATCTAGCTTACTTATCTAGTATATTTTTTTCTACTGCGAATATGAGGAAAATACATGTGTGTATATATCACAGAGGGCAGACAGATGTGAAGTATAAACAATATATTTACAACTAAATTACCAGACTTGTATCTGGGCTGAAGGGAATTAGCCACCACAATACAGCATTGCATAAGGGAGGATTGGACCCGTTGGATAGTGCGCGCCAATGTCGGTACCGATAGCTACAGCCGAGAATCTCCAGATCGGACACACCCAAATTGTTGAATTCGGTAACAAGCTTCATGAAACGACCCAAGTTGCCCTCACAATTCTGCGCGCATAGGTTCGGACCACATGTCGGCAACCTTACCACACTCATATTACCGACTTTCCGAAACAGCAACACGCAATGCAGAACTACAGCCATGCAATCAAAAGCCTCGGACAGCGCACCCAAAGCTTAGAAAATGCCAGTGCAGGACTGAATTGGTAACACGTGCATGAGTATCATAATGTGGTAGCTCGACTGCTGGATCTGCAATCCAACAGGTGGATGTGGATTGAGGTATAGCTTGGGCTCTTTGTTTTCCCTCGCCTTACTTTCCCGGAGGGCCGTCAACACTTTTGTATTCAGATTATCCAAACCAACCTTATACTTTCGAACTAAAGAAAGATAACTCTTGTTTAGGCGAGGGATTGAAGGACTCGGCGCGAAAGGTCAAAGACAACAGCGTTCAAAAAAATAACTTGAGAATAAAAAAGATTCAGATATATTTAGAATGATCTGCATGGAACTTCTACCGAAAATGATGGCTTTGTACGCTAGTCTACGAGAATTAAGAATCCAAATGCGATGCCTCACCTCTACATCGGGAGAAAATGGAGGCTGCGGATATATTCGTTGAAATTCCTGCAATGATGTACATGTTTTTAAAAAGGTCAAGCTCTTGGAATAGGAAGAGGAAAATAAGGATATTCTTGACACCAATGTTGTAGGTGACTAAACAGCGGCATCTGATGCTCGGCGGTGCATTGTCCCATGGGAACTGTCAATCTGAAATAAGTTTAATTGTTCAGCGCGGAAGTCATTCATGATCTTGACGCGATTACTTGGAGTCAGATTCTGGAAGTCCGATAAGAGTTTCAACGCTGTTGACACAAGAAGGGCATTTCGGAAGAAACATAAATAAAGTAATATACATTTGAAAAAGGATAATCTCGAGTCTTGGGAGTAACCGGGAAGATAATAACGGTTGCAAAATCAGCAAACCTGTCCCTGTTGCAAGTGTGTCGACAATTATTTGTGAAGACTGATATTTGTGAAAGCTTCCTCACTAGTACAGCGAAATTTACAGTTAATGTCACTCATAGATGTCGATCACGTTTACAATTCCGCTTCAGAATTTAACTATTGACACAACTCACGATTTTTCTGCATAACTGCAGAAAATGACTAGCTAAATGATAACCATCAAGTCTCCAAGACCACCCTGATTCTACTGAAAATCCAGAATGGATTAGCAGTGTCAATAACCACTGTTTACCAGCCTAAACCCTTATTCTCCTCCATCGTCTTCCTGGTAAGATAAAATGCAAATAGACTGATTGCATGAAGTGTACACTGGCAACAACCTCTTGCAGAGTTCGCACAGCCCCATTTGCCATCCCAGAGCTCAACACTCTTCAGCTTTGTTTCATCCGATTGTGCAGAAGGGTTAAACATCTGTCCGACTCCTTATCTCAATTTCCTGAGAACCACCAAGTTACCATTTCACTTTGATACAAAGGTTGCACCAACTTGTCCGCATTCACCAGCTATTCGAGATCTATTCAAGCAAAAGCAATCAGGTAAACATTTCAAAACGACTCACAGTAACACACATCAGACTTTGACCGACTGCAGGAACAAAAATCTGCACCAGCGCACCTAAACCGTATACTAATGACCAACCAAGACAATACATTCTAGGCCCAGCTCATATTTGAAAAGACTATGTAAAGGTAACTCTCTCACCATCAATGAGGTGGGACCCCACTCATATTGGGAGCCTGCTGGTGATGTTGCTGCGGTTGTTGGTGAAGGTGCTGCTGTTGCTGTTGAAGTATAAACTGGTGCTGTTGCAACATATAAGCGTTATATTTATCTGTATTTAACGCCTGCACATTAAGCAAACAGCGGATAAGACTTAGCGCCACAGACGCCCAACAGAAATGCCAGTGGTTTACGCAGATTGCGAGAAATCACTTCAGTCACAAAGAATGCTGCCGCTTTTAAACCCTAACCTGAGTCATTGGCATTGACTGATGCTGATGAGCTGTGTAAGTATTGAAATCCATATCACCGGGTTGTTGATAGCGGAGGTCATGTGGATCAATCATGGAAGATGTACTTGCCATATTACCATTCAGAGATGGCCCTGCATGAGACTGCATAGACATCACTGCTCGTCCTTGTGCGGCCATGTCCATCATTCCCATCCCGAGACCCATTTGTACCATCCCCATAGAAGGAATTGCTCCCATCTGCGGCATTTGCATGTGCTGTAATCCAGGAGGCATAACCATTGGTGGCAACGTCATACCCGTCCTAATTGACATCATCTGCTTCACTCAAATTTAAAAATTAGTCCCTCAAATAAGCGAACGCACTATGTGCACAAACAAACGAGCCCTAAAAGTTTAATCTAATGGACGCTATTGTCACACAAGAAGCTCTCTTTACAATTCTCTATACAATAGCTTTCGTAAAGAGAATTGTTGAGCAAATACCTGGAGCTGAAGCTGAAGCATTTTTAGGTATTCAATTGCCTCATCCAGCATGGATGCCTTGTCCGTCTGCCATACACATACCACTTCATGATTATCTGGACTATGAAGAATGTAATAGAAAGTGCAAGTCATGAAATGTTGACTACAAAGAATGGCAATCAACATGTGCGCACCTTGTTAGAGTTTGGAATAAGCTCCTGCAGTGCTCTCATCTTCTCATTTATTCTGTCTCTTCGACGCTGAAAGGCCAAATCCAGAAGGAACACGATGAATGAGGAGATGGTCGAAGCAAATTCACCCCCTTGAGTTTGGGGGAAAGGGCAGCGATGTGTGTGCGTAATTATTTTCACATACACCAAAGAAAGACTGGAATTGCGAAGGATCAACTTACTCTCTCTGACTGATTGTGAACTTCAGCAGCTCTGCTTCTTTTTGTGGTACTTACACGACCGGTTGTTGCAGGTTTTTGTTTGGTGTCCACAGACTCGTCTTCCATGTCCTGTGATTTATTAAGCAAAACTACTCAGTGAAAAACAGAACGATGTCTCTATTGTAACGTGTACGTCAGCTGTCTTTGTGTTAGCAAGCATGACGTTTATGATACAACACACCATCTGAGATCAACGACTACTTGCTGCTTCAGCAACTTCAGTTTCACAGAAGAATTGTACTCACTTCACTTTGGCATTCGGGTTCTTCTCTTTCGCTTGACTTCCTTTTCGTGCCTGTAACAGGCTCTTTCGGTGGTTCAGCGCTAGTCGCATATCTACCTGAGGAGGATGTGATGGTAGGCTCCTGAATATCAAGGTGTTGTGTACAATGAGAGGCTCCCTTTTCAGAAGAGGCTAGAACGGCACCATTAGTCACACCTGATAGCCGGCAGGTTTCTTGATCAGGAGTTAAACTCTTACAATCTCCTCCAGAAACAACACAATCACGATCTTTCGTCGGTGACAAACCAGGTGCGGATGGCCATCTAGATTCCTCAACATTATTGATCTGCTCCCTTTCCAAAACTGCAGGTTGTGTCTTCACTTCCTGGTGGGATACCAACGGCCCCTGTCCTGTGGTGGTAGACTCAGCAATTGAAGACTCTGTTGATGTACACGCCTCTATGATCGGTCTACAACCAGGAAGACCCTGCTGCTGTTTGAAACGTCCACAGGGCGGGGGGGTGCAGTTCATACCTGCCAGACTATGCAAATTTGCTTTGACCATGGCTGCAGGCCTCGAAAAGTGAGAGAAATTCATGGATCCAGGTCTGCTGGCTTGAGGCGTGTTGGACGAATTCGGTATCGGAGATCCAAGAAGCATTCGAGGGGGTAACATCGGACTGGAAGGGGATGCGGACGTGCTTGTGGATACTTTTGCAGACGTCAAGTAACTTGTCGCGCATTCACTGGAACCATTTGGTGAATTGGGATTATGTGGTTGTGGCCATCTAGGAAGAGAAGAATGTTGTTGCGGAGAGTGAATTGTACGCACTTTACTGAAGGCCTCCACTCCAGCTTGAGGAAAAAAACCTGCCGCGCGGCCAGCACCTAACAGCATCGCAGCATCTGCAGTGGTCCCTCTGTTACTTCCACCATCGAGCCCTGAAGCTCCTGAAAACGAAATGCGCGGCGATATCTTGGTAGATCCATGTGCAAAGGATTCTTTAAGCAATTGCGTGTTGGCATCTGGAAGCTCCCCAAAGAAGTCAGAGCAGTAATTCCTCTCCAAGGTATCATCCAGTGGATACTGTAACCAAGACACCATTTCGTCGCTATCGACATCGATGTTGTGGGGCGGATGTGGTTCGGTGGCTGTTTCATTAGCCACAGCCTCTGGTGAAGCACCAGTCTTTGGAGTATCCGGTTTACAAGGGGTCACTCCATCTTCAGTTTCCTGTCCACTGTTCCACCCCGATGAGTAATTAACATCCCACTGTGACTTGTTACCTTTACAACCTTGACCATGCATGCCTACATGTTCATTATCATTCCAACCCACTCCCAACGTATCCTGATCGGGCCTGACACAAACACCAAATGTAACCAGCTCGTGAGACCAAACCCAATGTCCGCAATTCACACCGATAACACGAACAAGTCAATCCACGATAAGAAGGTACTTCGACGCTTACACAGGTGCCAATGCTAACTGAGAGAAGTGGATCTTCATTGACCTCACGTCCTCCCCTTTCCAATTCACTGGTCCATGAAAGTCATTTGAGGGAATCACGACATCGAGCATGTCGTTATTTCTGTCCCACTCTGGCACACAGAGACTCATAGTCCGACAACTGCATCAAATCGCCACTACAAAATAAATTTAGAAATTTGCAAGTTCCTTCCAAATATGAATCTGGCTTCATTGAAATTATACATGGTCGAATTAATGAACATCTCCAACACATGTCCTATTCATTCACACACATCAGATCTCACTGCTGGACCCTTATTCGCCATAACGTTCCTCACCAACCAGATGACCTAAACAGGCTCCCCAAGAAGTTTAGCGCCCTGCATCATTTAGTACCAAAATTGTGTTGACCATCTCCAGTACAACTATAACTCAAGAACAAGAAGAGCACAAGAGACGACAGAGACGGGCCACCGCAAATTCCAGTCACTTCGCTGTCGAAGAACTGGTGAGGTCGAAACACGGTACCGAAGCTTCGCGACTCACATTCATCCTTGAAGGAGACCCCCCCTTTAAATCACCCAAGCTACGTCACCATGAAACAAGAACCCGTCCTTCCATTTAAGTTGCAGGCTTGTGACTCTATCTGATTTGAGCTGCTAGAGTCACAAGCCAATATCTAAAATGCCACACAGATCCTGCGACCAATACTGTTCGATTTGACCCTCCACCACAGACAAACGGTTTCTCAGAAAAATTAAAAATAATTGATGCGATGACCACTTTAAAACTGAGATGACAAGTTCCGAGAGTCACCAGTTATCCTGCACCACAATCTTTGTTTTTGAGGGCACTCAAGGCGCCCTTCGCAGCGTAACAAATTTGAGCAGGACACACCACTTCGCTTACGAAGTCTAAACCAGCCAAGTTCTAAGCCCCCACGTTCAACGCTCCCTACCAACACATCACCCTAGCCTCCACACCCGACTTCCAGCCCAGCCACAACTTCACAGCCTTTTCCACAGAGCATCCCACGATACCACCCGCGCATTTACACATTCACCACCATGGAATCAAGTAATCCTCTCCCTGGCAGTATTGCTGCACTCCACTCTCCTCCTCAAGGACCACTCTCTCACCGCAACTGGTGTACCACTCCCCTCGCTGTCACACATTTCAAACCTCCGCCATCGCTCAAACCCACCCCGAATCACATCATCCCACAATCTACAATCTCTTCTCTTCTCCTATTACAATCGTCTCACGCCCCACTTCAACCCCACAGATGCATCATCGACCCACTACCCACCCACCCTCCCTAGCTCCCCAAAACGACGATGCCAATGCAGCGGCACAGCTGGCCCTCCCAACCCCACGAGACTACTTACTTACAAAGAAAGCTACGATTTAGTGACCATAGTAAAGAGGAACCAAGACTAGGCCAAATCACCACCTGATGAAGAGACGTGACCAAGAACTCAATGAACCATCATCGCAAATCACGACCCCTCTCCTCCTTCCCCCCTCCTTTCCTCCCTCTCCTCGCTCACGCTCTCTTTCATTCATTCATTCACTCACTCACTCACTCACTCACTCATTCACTCTTTTCCCTCTCTCTCGCTCTCTCTCTCGGCTTGTGCCCTCTCCCCTGCGTCGTGAACGCTGTAGAGAAAGTTTGTTTGTGCGAATCAGCAGTGGCTATGTTGAGCAGTCTCATCCCTGTCGTGTCCTCCGCTGTGGCCGTTCCCTGCTTCCTAATAGGCTTTTCCGCTTCTTCTTCTGCTTCTTCTTCTTCTTCTAAGTGCTCTGCCTCGAAGCAGATCGACATACAGCGTCCCAAATGTAGTGAGCCAGAGGACATAGCCGACGACGAAGCAGCAGCAGCAGCGATGGCGACGCTGCGCAGTCCAGTGTCCGATCCGAACCTACCCGAAGCTGGATCCCAGGCTAGGGAGTTGCCTCGGCATGGGAATAGGGTAGGAGCGACATCCTTCCAGCTCTGCGTCGGTGCCAGACCTCCCCCGCTCTATCCCCACCCAACCATTCTCCCCCCTTTCCTATTATGCCCTCCTCCTTCCATCCATCCATCCATCTACCCATCCATGTATTCATCCGCACATCCGCGTATTCGTTCACCTGTTCGTTCGTTCTTTCATCCATCCTTGTGCTCATTCATTCATCTGTGACACATTCGTTGCACTAAAAATCTGGGCTCTCCCCACCTCGTTCTCCAACTGAGGACTCATTTGGTTGTCCAAAATAAATAAATAAACTCCCTATGTTTTTAATTATTTATTTATATGTGTTTATTTTTTAAAAAAAGAACCCTCGATTCCTATAGTCGTAAAAATCAAATTTCGTTTTTTTATTACAAAAAATATTTTCTCAAATCTACATTGTGCTTTTGATTGATACTTACAAGATAATCTAAAATGCTTTTTTTCTTTTCATTTATTTTGATAATTTTCGGAACCGAATTTAATTTGTACTATTCAACAACCGCATTACACTGCCACATGATGGATGTATCAAAAGTATTACTATATATATATATATATATATATATATTCTGCTATTATCATTGGTGGAAAGTCGAAGTGTTTTTATTTCTTGCGACCCAAAAAGATACCAATAGAAAAACAGCAAAATCATTTCTTTAACAAAAGTTAAAAAATGAATTCTTGCAATTCCATACATTTAGTTCATATACCATGTATTACATAATTGAAATATATATATATATATATATATATATATATATTCACAAAGTAATAGTTTTCTTTTTCTTTTTTTCAAAGTTTTCTAGAACTATATTTCCACCCTTATTTCTTTTTCTTTAAAAAAAATTTTAGAAGATCCTCAGAATACTCGTGCCTGTGGCTGTGCTTTATTCTCACTCACTTCAATCGATATGTTGATATTTCCTTGGTCTAAAATGCCTCCAGTGGTTAGTTCTGCACCACACTTTTGTTGGTCGGAAAAATAATGACCCAAGCCTCTCAATTCAAAACATGAAAATTTGTGGCACAAAAAACAAGTTTGCAAGTAAAGGACGAGAATAAATTTTTAAAATTAGAAATTAAAAAAATTGAAACGAGAAGTTTTTCAAAAAAATGATAAGTTAATAAATAAGTGAATATGTAAAAGAATTTGGTTCCATAAACAACCACTGTGCTTTATACAAGTTTTTCTTTTTTCTTTTCTTTCAAAATCAGTCAACAAAGTCCTTCCATTTTTACAAGAGTGCTTGTCATGGAAGATTTCATGTCACTTTCTCATTCCTATTCATGTCTTGTACAAAAAGAAACATTCCCACTTCCAACCCAATAAATGAAAGACGAGTAGGTGTGTAAGTTTGTAAGTGGACGTGTTTGTATTTTGCCAATTTCCCATTTTCCACAAGATAATGTGTGAAAAATAGCACTTTTATTTATTTATTTTAGGGGTTGTCCATTCCACCCACACACATTGGGAACCAATGGGGCGTGTATTTGATAAAAGACCCAAAATTCAAATGATTGTTACTTGCATGTCAAGCCACGAATATAAGATTTCCAAGGGGAAGAAAAGGTGAGATGATCTCCGGGACATGGAGGAATGTTGTTGTGGGTCATCTAATCTAATCTTAGAATATAGAAATTCAATTGAGGGGCGGTATTTAAATTAGGGCACGGTTTCTAAAGCTAGGAGCGCCGGCTCATAAAAGCCTTTTGGATGGATGTATTCATGGATGAATACAGCGTGTTATTCATTCATCGACGTGTCCGCGTTGTGGAGGAGCGGCGTGAGATGAGATAAAGTGGGGAAGGGCGATGCTGAGGATGCGCGGAAGCAAGCCATCGCCAGTGGCCGCGGCGGGCGGCGACACACGCTTGTGATGACCGCATGGCGATGAAGCAGCGATGCGGTGTGTCGCGCTTCCATGGTCTCGGCCGTTCGATGGGGGCGCGTGGTTTCGCGAAAGTGGATTTAGCGAAAGGTTGCAGTGATTTTCGGGAGGGAGAAGTGTTTTTATTGTCTCGGGGTTCCAGTGAATTGTATCCTACTGTTGTTAGGGTGCGTCGATTGGATGGACCGGACCCTCGGACTCGCCCTTCGGATTGGACTGAGAGTTAATCCGGGTTAAAAAAAATAATTACACGTGCCGCCTTGCATGTGCTGCTGCTTTGCGGTGGAAGCTGACAGGTGAGGCGCCGCAGGCTGCAATGGAACAGGATAACAGTGTGCTCAAATTTTGTCCTACTTTCTGGTTTCTATTTTTAGAACACATGTACGATGAGTTTCTTGCCACTCGTGACTGCTAGAGACACTTTGTGTTGGACTCGACCACTGCATACACATTGATGAATTGCACAGTGAAAGATATCTGTGAGTCGGGAGCTGACGCATGTTGGAGTTTAGATAGCAGGAATGGTGCCTATTCAGCGAGGGTGCGGTAATTCAATGAAGGATTGATTGTCTGGTTCTGCGCTGGGATTTTAACGCGGTTTCTTACTCCGCGCTTTACTAAAGCACTGACGCTTTTTCAAGGGCCGAGCTCATCCTTGATTTTGATTCTGCTTCTTCGAACCCCCATACCCCCTGCAGCGGAAATCGACAATACTGCTATTTTCCTTCCACGCACTGCCCACATGCCTTATTGCCCTCAAATTGGGATCCAATACAGAAAAATCTGTAAGGAGGGTGGCGTAGGGTGATCAAAGAGGCGTAGGCTTCCTCAGTGATAAATATCCAGTAGCTACTTGTAAGCGACTCATATTAAAGCTAGTGATATGGCTAGCACTGAGGCAGATCCTCGAGTGGCCAACAAAACTGCATTTCAATCACATCCTCTTGGATGAGTCTCATTGCTGAGCGGAGTCCTCTTCCCACCGCTGTGTCCTGCTACACCGAGCGTTCTCCGCCAAGTGTGTTGCGCCATGATTTCCTGTAGTCGTGGTAGCAAGAGAAGGGAGAGCCGCCATGCTCGTACCTGCACAGAAGCCACCCCTTTCAAGCATCCTCAGCTACTCATTGTTCCATTCATTAACTATGTACTAGAGGAGTATGCAATGGATAGTAGCACCAGATGGTTAGATTCGAAGCGTTGTAACTTTGATAACTACTTGTAAGTAAATTATACAACGAGGAGTGGCCCACAAACAAAAAATATATCCCAGATGCCCTGCAAGACCCTAGCCCCTGGAACTGCGAGTAACCAGAGGGACAAAAAAAAACAAAGTCGTAGGGTTGTGATGATGGGTGCAGCTCGTGGAACTGACCTGGGTATGTAGGTCCTGTAAGGAGCATAAATGGCTGCTGTAGATATCAGCAGGAGCCTGTGACATCCTGCCGGTGATGAGCTAGCGAGCGGCGGACGAACTTTGACCTCGCAATTAGCACAGGAATAGGCTTAACAACCCGATCTGGCAATCCTACACGGACCTCCTCCATCACGCCCCGATTCGTACTAGAGCGCACTGTTCTTGCCATGACTCGCAGCGTAAGCAGGGATGTGATTCTTAACAGCTTTGCTGAATAGAGTTGGGCAGTTCAATAGTCATTGGTTGGTATTCAGATGAGGATAATATTCCTCGATAGTCGTGAACAGAACCCTGAGAAAATTCCAACTATTCAAGCTGACAATTTAGAATTTATGTGGTGGGCTGTCCACAGCATCAACGGAGGTCGCTGCCGGCTCCTGACCCGTTCTGGATTAATTCGCAAAGCTGTACTTGTTCCCTAAGAAGACTGACCTCGCTACGGTTAGCGCAGGAACCTTCCAGTAGCTATCAGCGGGGCTCTACCGCAGTAGTGGGCTGATTGAGATGATCGGCTGGATATCAAAGCAGTCTCGGTGGTGAAAGGACACTCTCAGCACAGTGGGGCCTTGTGTAAGGTGCAGAGGGTACGTTACGGGAACACGTACCGCAGGTCCATGAGCCGAAAGGACGTCCAGGAATTTTCTCTGGATAATGAATTGTTCAACAGTATACACAGAATTGGAGAGCAATCATGGAATCTAGAGCATTTTCCCAGCGACAATGTTCGAGAGGTAGCAAGTTACTTCACAGACTTTATACATTCAAAACGTTTAGAGGTGGCTGCTGGGTAATTGTTGGCAGTTAGGTCGTAAGTGTCTGCTTAAACCGTGAACACTAAAAACCAAATTGTTAGTTCAAGCGGCAAAAAATCATTTAAGCAGCACTCATACGAACAACTATAAAGTGGAAATGAGGGGACTTGGCTGGCCATGAAGACCGGGAATAGCACGTGAGAGGGATGCAAGGCAAAAAGCACGATAATCAACAGCAACTAACATGATAGTCTCAAACTGTAATCAAGGATCTTGTACATTGATTACGTTGTAAAACCAGTGCACAGAAATGAATGCATGCTTTTACAACACAGTATTCCCATCATGGTATTCCCTACTTTATGACACTATGGTTTATCTTCAAACTTTGAAACAAGGCACTGTCTAGGAGCCCGCCAATATATTCTCTGATGGTATTTCATCTGTGGTGTTAAGAGCTTGAATCGTCTCCAATCCTCCATTACAAGACGCAAGTCCATCAGCTTTCGCTGAAGCCCTGTGCAGCAGTTGGCATGCATCGTGCAGACCTGCTCGAAGTTGTTGCTGATCTGGGGTGACGTCAGAAACCATACTTGAATTAATTTCTTAGAGAAAATGAACACCTATTCGGCTAGATCCACTGACATTCAGAGGTCAGTTTTACAATGAATAGAATGCAAGACTTATTCAGCACCATCAAATTACAAGTGACATCGACAAACATGATCACCAGCTGCAAGCAAAGTTAAACAGTAGTGTTTGTGTGGGAAATACTTGCACGTCGTTCAAGATCTACATGCAGAGAGCAACAAGAAGGAAAACCTATTAAAAGAGAAGCGGGGCAGCAACAGCAGCAAGCGGGATATAATAAGTAAATAGATCAAGTGAATAGAATTGAATAGGACCACACAAAACAGCTTCCATGCGCTCAAGTGTATTTTTCGAGATGAATCTAAATGATGATAGAGGTAGCAGTCATATCACATTCACAAAATCGACAACACGACGCGTATCAACTACTGCTCAGGATTATACGCTTGAATGGGAGGCAATTGGTTAAGTGATAACATCTCCAACATCGTGCAGCTGATTAAGGCTGATTCTATACGGTATCAAAAGTCAAGAAACTGATTCAAAAATTGTGAAGGCATGTATTGAGGCACTTAGTCTCATCAAATCAATCAGTTTATACAACTCCAAGAACAGATCAAACAGAGAGTTTAGTGTAAGCCTTGCCTGGCAGAATCCGCTGAATTGGAGGGTGTCCAGGAAACGAAGCTGAAGACCAATATCCAGAAAGTCTTGATCTGTCTTAATTTTACCAAGCACATCCTGATCATGCAAACCTGGATGATCTACCCTTGACATGTACCAATAGTTGTAAAAGTCAATAGTGCGTTTGTTGGACCGTGCATACACAAAACCTCCATTTGGCCTATTATTCATGTCTTCAGGTATGCCTGTGTATGCATCGCATGCTATCTGAAAGTCCGCAAATTTGTCGAACCGAGGAAAGGGGTTACGAATCCACATAACATCTGCATCCTGCACAAAGGTCACGACACGCATCGCTCATAGAGGTTCAACAAAGTAACATAGATGTTGAGCTTGACATCAAATTATCGAGTAACTTATTGTATAATCCTTAAACATCACAGATACGATGATGAACCACAAATTTCTTAGATCACCAAACCCGTCGGAGAAGAAATAAACCCAAGCCAAGCTCGACAGGACGGTACCGTTCAGTCAAAGATACAAAGTTATTACCGAAAAGACAAAGTTGAACCCCAATTCGAGGACAATTTTGAGGAAGTATATCCTCCTCCACATCATTTTCAAGTAATCCTCGGTCATAAAAAACTTCTCCCCAGAAAAGTCGACATCCTCCGTCTTCAACATGTAGCAGAAAGCATGTAGCAGTTTACACTTATCATACGCCACCAGGTCCAAAGCAACGATCACCAGGTGATCAAGGAGCTGAGAGGTTTCTTCTCCAGAACGAAAGCTCTCCAAATACAAGTCTATCATTGTGTTGGGTTGCGCCCATGCTTGATTTAACGTTGTCAAAATTATGGTCCTATCAGGCATGGCGGCTCTCTCCAAAATATTCTCCAAACCTGGAAACTCAACACTAATCTGAAGCCAGAGAAATGCAGATGATTAGTGGCGAACTTCTGTCACATCCGATGCAGGTCCTCTACAGCAGCTCAAAGTAAATTATCATACACAAATGAATTAATAAAAAATCAAGCAATTACGGATATCGCATCTTTCTTGTTTTAGATTACAGGAACGCATAACAAGGAACCGTGAATTAATGCCACATCCCGGCGTGATCCCTATCAAGAGGAGAAAAAAGCACTGAAAAGTGCAGGAAAGGCCCACACCCACAGTCTTGAAGCTCCACTACCAAATGTAGCCCTCATATGATCCACTCTGGCTCAGCTAACGAAGCGGGATCAAAACACTACACACGGCAGCACTCACCCCTGCTCCACTAAAGTTCATCACTACCAATCGTCTTGGCACGCATACATCCTCACCCAGGGACAAGCAACTCTTTCTTCAAGAAAACCTCCAAGAGCGCACATACATGGTCACCGAGCTCAGCCGGGGCGCTCTCTCTCCTCCAGGGCAGTTCATGCCTGTCGCGAACCACATCACTGCTCTGGAATTGCGAATGGTACGCTTCAAAACCGCGTCTCAGACTGTGCTGCATCCATGATCCTCCGGCTGCATACATCATTACAGTACAGGCCACAGACACAATTGCGAACCACGTTATGACGGTCCTCACCTTCCATTGACTACTACTCCACAATCCCATCTCCTGCGTCTAAACCCAACTACTCATAAACCCTAAATAGGACAGTACCACCTGCGGGAATCACCCCAGTCCACCATACCCATCTCTAACTCCATCTCCACAATACCCAACCTCTTCTGGAACTACATAATCTCCACTCCACCATTTGCAACAACAATGCCTTCGGTGACACACGCTTCTTTCTATCCCGCGTCGTGCAGTGCTTCCGCGAGTGGATCCAAACTTCGAAACTCTAGCTGTAAAGCACTACTTCGTCGAAATCATGCAATAAGACTGTATGGAAGTGGGTATCTGGAGATGGCTTTTCACATGCACGGGACATGAAACTGGCACGCGGGGCGAAGCGAAGCGGACACCACCAGCACGGATTCCATGGAACCTGAGCTCTCTCTCAAGGTGCTTGCTACGTTCTCAAAGACATCCGGATGGATTATATCCCTATTTCCCTTCACACAGGTATCTGGATAATTTACATGTCTGTTTCGTTCACACCTGCTTCTGAGAGAGTTGGTACCTTCAGTTCTGTTCACACCTGGTTGGAATACCTTCGCGATTCGGGATGCTCGCCCTGGAATTGTACATTTGGAAGGGTTTATAAAAAAAAAAACTAGTTAAACTTGTACCATTGTCACAAAAAATATGCAAAAAATTAATTATCTTCATTCAAGGAATTATTCCTAAAATTTAACTATAAAAAAGCAAAAATTGTGGTAAGTCATTTAATCATGTGTTTTATACACAGATTTATATAGAGATGGCTGTTGCTTGATAATCAACACTTGCCTGAAAATCAACAAAGCAAAAGTCTGAAAGCCATGAAGAGCTCAAACTCTAAGTGCAAGTAAAATTAGAGTTGCAATAAGAGAGACATCATTATTAATGAATGTATCATAAATAATGTAATTATTAAAAAAGATAGTGGAAAAAAGCCGCATCACTATATACTTTATTAAAGAATCCTCTCTTCCAGCAACAACTATTCTAATGCATTGTATATAAGGCTTACTCAAGATATGTTTATTAAGACAACCAATCAAAAGGCCAATTTGATTCTCTAGTTTATCGTGTTGATTTATACCTCCTTGACATTGTTGTAGAAAGAGAGATTGCCTTGAAAAACACAAGGCCTTTGGCTCCTACTAATTGCCCTAATTTCTTATCAAAAACTTTCAAAACATATAAAATACTTAATAAAACATGAATTTTTTGTAAATTTTCTTACTATTCATATTAATATCAAATTCTTTCATTAAACGTTTATAAAACAAATATAAGAAAATCCATAATCTTCTTTGATAGTCCTTAAATCTCCTTCCAAAGAATGTTATTATGTTTTCAAAATTCTAAATCCTATTTTATTTCTAAATCCTAAATCTTAAATCCTACTTTTAAGTCTTAAATCTTAAATTTTATTTTATTTGAATTTTTTTTATTTAAAAAAATAAAAAATTAGATTAAAGATTTCAAAGGATTAATATCATAAATTACCACTAACTTGTGGCTTATTCTTTTTTAGAAGAAGCTATTAAGAGGATGAAAATATAGAAGGTTTAGACATCAAGTATCATATTATTATGAAAAAATATTATTTTTTTGTCCATAGACAATAAATGCCCTCATCATCCAACTTAATCCTCTAATGTAAGCATTGTAGGACCAACCTTCTAAATATCTTGAATAAATAAATTGATGATTTTTAAAAGAATATTTTTTTCTTCCCTCTCCTATATGCCACCATGAGGATTCAAACTCAAGAACTTCTAGATGCCACCTAAGCATCTTATCATCATTCCTTTCTATAAAATCCAAATTGCTACTTGATGTCTAAAGATTTAAATTTTCTTCCTTTAAACTTATTATTCAACCTCTTTTCTATTTTTAAATCTCAATTTTTAATAAATTATAGTTTTTTATCTACAAAAATATGTACACCTATCTATAGCACTATTAAAAATATATTTATCAAATTTTACATTAAATAGATATTTTAATTATTAGTTATCTTAAGTCCTAATTCTCTTCTATAAAATTATTTTTTAAAATATTTATGATACTTCTTATTAATAAGATTTATATATCTATATCTATATATAGATAGATATATATATATATATATATATATATATATATATATATTCTAAATATATTTTATTTACAATTTAATAATTTAATAATTTTTAATATCTAATTATTTTTTAAAATATTTTATTTAATAAAAAAAATAAATATTAAGGGCTAATGTATTTCTTAGTTCTCATCTAGTTTTTATATATTGTGTGCAAATACAATACAACATCTACCCCCTCAAATCTTATACATCTTTTGATATGTGCCATTAATCCTTCTCACTTTCTTCAAAAATTGTCAATATTCTTTTAAATTCTTTATTTTTTTGATTTTTTTGATTTTTTTGTTATAAATAGCCAATATATTTTTTTTTGTTGAACCTTATATCTCTTTGTTTAAAAACCTTCACTCTTTTCCTTATCACTAGGTTTTTGATAATGGTTCCATTAAATTCATGTAAAAAATAAGTAGCATTGTTATCAACTATAGTTATCACATAAAGCTCTAATCACTTCTTTTCAAATTTCTTTGCTATGTTATATTGATGGATCAATCTACTATTCTAAACTAAAGTCTAATCTCCAATTTTTATAGGTTTAGATCTTAAGTGGTGAATCTTATCAAACCTTTCTTTATTCTTTAATCAAATTGCTTTTAACATCTTTTTTGCTGCTTCTAAATCTTTTGGTAATCTCCCTACTTATTGAATTTAAAGTTCCAATAAGCTTTCTCTATCAATTCTATCTTTTTATGATAAAAAAAATCCGTGTAATATAAAATTCTTTAATTGGTATTATTGATTTTTGTCCTAGCATCAATTCAATGGGTATATAATTGATTACCATACTATGAATAGTCCTAACATCTTCCAAAAAAAATAGAAGAAATTTTTGCCATTGCATTGAATTATTTTTATAAGTTTTTACAAATGCATTAATGATACAAAGATGACATCTTTTACTATTACTTTTGACTTTTGGATTATAAGATATAATTAATTTTAATTGAATTATATATCTTTTGAAGAATTTCTTTACTTCTATTATATCCAGTTATCATCTATTTGTTCTCATCCTTCCAATGCTTTTGTATTGGCTAAAGATATTTTTTAATACAAATCAATATACTTCTTTCATAAACTTGGTCCTTAAAGTTCTTTCTTCAACAATATTTGATAGTTCTTCTTTTTACCAAAACCAAATATTTCATGCTTCAAAGTCTAGATGCTATAGCTATCAAATCAATCATCTATTAGAAATGTATAAAACGTGGATGGATAGGTCAAAATTCATCCTTGTATTTAATCTTGGATTATACTAAGTAATATTTAAAAGAGTCTACAAAGTCCTCTACATATTTGAATAATCCTTTCCACTAATACCTTTCTTTGATTTTGATATAAGTAATTCAAATTCTTTTATACCTAATTCAAAATATGTCATGAAATTCTTTTAGAATTTTAATTTTAGTTATGAAGTATTCTACTACCTACAATAGGAATTTAATACTAATCTTTGGTTTTTTCTATAAAAATCCATCTTTAAAAATATAGTTATAAGATTGATATCAAATATCTTTAAATATTTTATCCATCCAACCTTCTTGTCTCTTTATCATGATCAAATAAATTCTAATATTCTTAAGCCTCTCTTCAAATAAATCTTTCTACAAGACTTGAATCCTATCTTTAAGGCTTAATTCTTCAATAGCAAATGAACATCCATAGATCTTTTTATCTTCATCTTCTCTATCTTTATGAGCTATTATCTTCCCTTTATCAATATATCTAGTTCTAGATAATATATCTGCCATCAAATTATCTTTACTAATAATTTGTTTTAAAATTAGATTTAATATCCAAATATAAGCTATCCATCTCAACATAAAAATACCTAAAATATAACAATTACATATCACACCAAATATAGATAGATAATGCCTTTTTAAAACTACATTATTTCTAATCACATAATTTCTCGCTTTTAAAGTTGCAAGTACTTCTCAAAGTTCATGCTTAATTTATAGACATTTCTTTTGTTTATCCATAAGAATTTCGGCTCCAATTCTTATAATAAACCTCTTTCTTTTTTAATCATCTTGTCTAATAGTCTATCCAATTGCTATTGGACTAATATCCACCATCACTACTATTAGCTTTCTACATTGATAATCCATTTGTTTAAGGATGAATAGTGAAGTTAAAATTTTCTTCAAATTTTCTATAGCTTCTTCATGTTCCTCTTTTCAAATAATTTTTTATATTTTTTTAATAATTTGTATAGTAGTTTTGAAATATGGACAAAATGAAGCACTCAAATATGATAAAACATACATATATCCAAAAAAAATTTAATTTTAGTAACATCATTGTATGCTTTTATTTTGAATATAGCATTAAAATTTAATTTCCTACCATATTTTTTATACGAATGTTCCACAAAAGTAAATCAATTCCAAAATATCTTCTATAGAACCTTCATAGACAGTGCTTTGACTTTATAGGTATCCTTAATTGAATTTTTAAGTTAGAAACATGGTCAACAAGTTAACCATGTGCCATACATATTGATAGCTTGAAGAACAAGTTAATTATGTGGCCCACACGTAGAAAACTTGCTTTTTAAGTTAAAGCATATATCTTACAAGGTCAATACATATTAGAAGTTTTATAGAACATTGCCACGTAGCTCCTAATTAGATAGTATATATAAAGGCAAGAATAAAGCCTCTTCACTCTTATCAACTCCTTTCTTGCTTCTATTCTAGTTTCAAGAGTCTCAAGTTTTCTTGTCTTTTTGCAATAAGCCATTCTAGTTTTTTTTTAATATATATACTTTCTTATTTCTATTTTGTCACTTTTTTTTTAATACAGATTTCATTGGTTTATGCATCATCTTTTAATTCATATCCTTGATAGATTGACAAGAGTGTACTTACAACATCAGAGCTTTGTCTTGTCTTGATTAAGAGTGGATTATCCTTTTTCATGATAAAGCATAAGCATATTAGAAGTTACAGATTACTCTCTTCTAAACTAATATTGTTCTTAGTATTTTCTTTATCTTCAAGTCCTTTCTTCTACTTGTCTTGAGCGATATTAGATATTTTTTTGAGTTTTATTATGTCAGAGTTTTTTGAAATGAAGAGTGTAATGGCACAAATGCAAGAACAATTAAAAAAGTTGATGCTTATGATGCATGAACTTAGCTTACTACTATAATGATCAATAAGAATGGTAGGAAGTGAGGATATAGAGATGATTAGAGCTGCCTCAACATTTGCACCAAATCATATCCCTCCACCCATGGTGGAGCATCCTTCAAGTGTTAGAGAACTAAGAG